AGTCATCGCCACAAATGCACTGGTCATTTGTCAAATTCTTGCTTCACATTTTGTAAAGAACTTTTACATAAAAGATCTTACTTGGTCATCACAGTTCTAGGTAAGGATGGTTCTTCTCTTTCATAGACAAGGACATTGTTGATCAAAAAGGTTAAATGCTTTGCAAAGTGGCAAAATAAGTGTTAAGGGCCCTCCTCCAGAATTCTTTCCTCATCTCTCTGTGCCTCTGTGCTGACTACTCCTGCACAACCCACATTAACCCTCAGGGACAGCCAACTTCAGGGAGCCTCTTCTAAACTGCTGGTTTTGAAAGTTTTGTTGCAGCTTATAGCTTTTGACATTTTTATTGTGAAACCAGAACTATCTCCCCAAACTTTCCTTGCCCTGGGACAATGATCCATCATTTTAACTTGCTGTTTGTTATAATAGTTTTCCATTACCTTACTTTCCCTCTCATTTTATTTTCCTCTCTCTGCTGTTAACCTCCACTCTTCTGGTTTCTGTCTGTTTAAGGAACTTAGTTTCTTTTTCCTTTGTAAAATATATTTCTAAGCAAATATGTATCAAGTTCTTAAGCACTTAAAAATGTATTGATAGACAAAAAAGAGATAAAGAAGGAGAAACTGCAGGCCCTTCTGTAGCTTAGAAAAAAGCAAGAGGTCCTACTATCATCCGCCAGTCGGTTTTAGGGGGTGGAGAGCTTATTTGTGTATCTTGCATCTTTCGTTTATAGAAAGAAACAATAGCCAGCTCCCTAGGTTTGGGGCTCTTGGCGCCGCCTAGTGGAAGGAACCTCTTTTGCACTCCATTCCCTTCCGTTTCAAAATGACCAGTATTTGGACTTAGAAATGTTACAATTAAACATACTAGGAAGAAACACCATTTTCAAATGTATAGTAATTATAGAAATTCTTTGAAGTTAATTTCATTTTTAAAACCTGAAATTTCATCTTAAAAACAATCCACAACCCCAAATAAAGTTTTCAAAGTGGACTGTGGGAAGGACTATTAAGGAACAAAGCTTGTTAAAAATTAGCAAGTTTTTGAATCATCTCAGCAGTGAACAAGGAACATCTTTTGTGGTGATCAAGTATCAAAGTAGGGAAGGGAAAGTTTTTTCTCTACCAGCCACAGTTGACAGATAATTACGATGTAGTGATTCCAAGATCTTCCAAAAATTGGAAACTTTTCTTTCTTTGCTTAGTTTTTTTTTTTTTTTTTTCTTTAAGGAAATGAAGGCAAGAAAGTGGAAGATCATTTTCAAACCTGTGTCATAAAAGGGACTATATTTTATTGTATCCTAAATCCACTGGTGGAAATATTATTATATTTCCTTTAATATCTTGAAATTGACAACACCTTTGCTTTGTACTTGGTTATATTTATGAATTTTTGTTTATTTTTAATGAAAAGTTCATCATGCTTGCTTTTCTAGAAAATACACGACTTTTTGGGGTGTACATTACATATACTTGCAGTAGAAATGTGTCTAAAGAAAAAAGATCTGAGTAAAGTTAAGCAACTAAGCCACAACTCTGAAGAGTTTGCTTTTTATTGTTTGTGGTATTTGAGTTCTTCTTTTGACTCTTCAAGTCAACATTAGTATTTCTTCTGTGGTAGGAACTCAGAGGTAGGGACCTTGATAAAAGTCAAAAGTCAAGGTCGTATTTTCCCCTTCCAATTGTTAATCATGTGTGTAGATCTGCTAACATGCCATCTATAATCTTCTATAATATTAGCCTTTTAAAAAGAAAATATGATCTGAGACATATACAGGGTGGGGCCTGCTGGGCTCGCGTTTGCTTTGCTTTAGAGTTCAGAAAACACTCTCTCACACACACACCCAACACTTCGACCTTTCTTTCTAGATTTCATTTTTTTCCCGTGGGGTCATATTTCCGTCTCCCCTGACAATTCTGTGAATTATTCTAAGAGAGAGAGGAAAAAAAAGCAAACTTGTCGAACCGCCCAACACAAGCTGTGCGATCAGCCTTTTGAGCTCTTGAGTCATTTTAGGCGTCGGAACAAAACAAAAACAGGCTTAAATGAATTATTTATCAAGGTTGAGAATAATTGATTTGTGCAGTGCCTTTAGTTCTGGGTTTAAAATTTGTTTTCTTCCCCTCCTCACTCCCTAATCAGAGTAGGTTATAGAGGGACTGTGGGTTGGAACCCCCATGGCTGGGAGCAAACGCACCTCATTTGGGAAATTGGTGGGTGATGTCAGAATGGGAAGAACCCTAATCGATATTTGAAGTGGGAAGGATGCCCGGGCTTCCTCCAGCAGTCTCTTGCAGCCCCAGCGCCTTTCTCACCGTCATCAAGGGTGCAAGGGCTCGGCACGGCCTTCAGGAAAAAACGCTTTCCTATGTCCCCAGCTCGCTCAGGTCCAACGCCACTGGCTCTATCACTGCCGGATTAGCAGGCAGGTCCCCCTCCAAAGGCGTCTGTTCCAACCCCTCTCCCGACCTATCCAGGCTTTCTTCGGCTCCCCTGGCTGAGTGGCTGGACCTCACCCGACAAGGCCCATCCACGCGCTTCCCAGGAGCTCCCTGCATCTCCTAGTTCGGTGTTGGCTGCTGCCTGGACCGAACCCCGATTCCCAGCCACGGCTCACCAACCCCTTGCTTTTCTGCCAAATTCCCCTGGTCTTCGGAGCAAAGCGAGAGTTGCCCGGGTGGTACATTTCCTCATCCCAGTCCTTCCTGTCTCCACTGCTCACCTCAGAGATAGACCCATGACAAAAACGGCATACAAAGATGGTAAGAAAAAGCTTAACGAACTCTTGAAATAGCATGGGCCTTCTCTGGGTCAAACATGAAAACGCAAGAAGGCGGATTCTCCTGGATCCCCTCTTCGGGACCCCAGGATTCACACAGATGCAGTTCTCACCGAAAGGCACGGTTTTGTCCCAGGAGGTCATTTGCCTAACTTACACCCCTCCCTCCCATCCTCAACAGAAAAAAAAGCTGCTTCCCAGATTTAAAAAAAAAAAAAAAAAAAAAAAAAGATCTATAGAATCACAACAAAACCACAGATTTCGGCCCAGCCCTTGGAGACTTTAAAGGCCACTCTCTAACATCATTTTGTATCTAGTCACGGAAGCAATGCCAACCACGCAGATTCATAGGGTTCTTAAAATGGTAATTTGGAGTAAAATGTAACTCAAAGAACTTTGAATCATTCATTAGCACCTTATAATTACTCTGCTAATTAGGTTGACACGGCACTTAATCAGGAGTAATACGCCGTCTTGTCACTGGCACTTCCCATTACTCTGACATTCAACAAGAGACAGGTTGGAAACGTCCTAGAGAAAATAATGCAAGTTGATACCTCCGACGAGGCGTCACAGTCAAGCTCAGGGTCCCCAAGCGGGATCCACCGTGACTGTTTCCTTTCCAAAAGGCCCACAGCAGGGAGGAAAGAGAGACAGAGACCAACTGGTCATCTGGGACGGCTGTCGTCCTCCTGGAAAGTGGTCCAGGAGCCCCGCACCAGTCTAGCGCCTCGGTGAACTGAGGCTGTTCTTGCTATTAGAGAACGTTTCAAGCTATTATTTCCCCCCGCTCGGGAGAAAGCGTTTGGCCAGGCATTTCCTCCAGCACTGGCTCGGATTGGAAACCAGGCTGGGTCCCGGCTTTGAGCCGCGAACCTCCTCCTTCCCGAGAGGACCTGGGGGACTAAGCGCCAGTTCCAACCCTTCCAGGGGAAACAGGAGCGCGCAGAATCGGGCTCTCCCTGGAGTGACACAGTTCCCGCGGGTTCCTTCAGGGATGCCCTTCCTCTGCTGTTAGTGCCTTCCTACTAGTGAAGCGCGCGTTGGGGATGCAGCGGGGGCCGGCCGGGCTGGAGTCTAAAGGTAAGTCATCCCGATTCCTTCCCCCTTCCCGCCCTCTTTTCCCTTCTTTTGACTCCTGGTTAAGAAAACGAGCAGATCCTAACTACGGCTTTCTTTTCTTGTTTGCTTTCGCTCCCTTTCTCTAGTCTCCCCCTGCTCTCCTTCCCCGAATCCCTTTTCCCCTAACGTGTGAATTGTGGACACCGGGACCACTGTAGGAATAGGTGTCGGGTTCAGAGAAGGGGATGTACGGGTTCTCAAAAGAGCAGCGGGCCACGGCAGGGCTCGCTGACGGATTGCGAGTCGAGCACCCATTGGCTCTTGGCACGTCGGCGTCTCTTGCTCGCGCGGGGGCGGCCAATGGCGTGCGGGGCCCGGCGCGCAGCCTCGGCAGCCGGGACGCGGGCCCGGCGCGGCGCGGGGAGCAGCGGCCGTGGCCGTGACGTCACGGGAGGGGTCGGCGCCGCCCGCGAGCTGCCGGATTACAAGCGAACGCGACCGGCAGCGGCCGGAGTCGCCAGGCGCCGCGTCTCCGCCTCCTCCTCGGCTGCGCTTGCTTGCTCTTCTCCACCTCTTCCTCCTCCTAGCGTGGCTGGGGCTACTACAGCCGCATTTGCTGCACAACTTTCCAAGAAAGTTCAGAAACTCTGCGCCGGGGCGGCGGAGTC